TCCGCAACTACTTGCAATTTATGAAAAAATCAGTAATATTATATTAATAGACAAAATCCAATGCAGCGCAGCTGTTCCCAATCTGCTGCTCTAGAATTCATTTCATAGCTATATGGGACCATTCTATTAAGAAATTAAATCGCCATTACGCTTACAAAAATTATTTCTCATCCAAAATTCGATGTCTCCCCAAATCCCTAACATGTTATGAACCTTGAAACTGTTGATGGAATTCGTATGTTCTTCGCTATCTTCTGCTGCCATTTTTTCCACGGCGAAACAAACTTTCAAATGAATGTAGCGAAATGCCAAAACTTAGACTTGCTCTTTAATGTCACCCAATACCTTAAATTTCATGAGTGGTGAGGAACACTAATGGAGAACGTTTTAGCTTTCCTGAAAAGCAATTATAAATAACAGTTGTTTTTGTAAGCAACAAATCGATGAAAGGAGAATGGCTTTTCCGGAATTGAAACCAGATATCGGGATAAGAAAAATATTGAAAGAAAGTCCTTGAAATCCTTGAAAGAAAAATTTTCGAGAAAAAATGGAAATAAACAACTGATGATATCTCGCGAAAGATAGAAACAAACAACCGACACACCCGTGCTAGCGTCACAATAAGCACACAGAATCAAAGTTTCATTGCGAAGTGGCTAAGTGGCATAATACGACAGCAAACCGAACTTCGACGAAGTATGAAATTTTGGTATGGTGCCAGTCGAGGTTGGTACGATACCGATCTGGAGTTGTTGAGAGTGGGCCTTGATGATTTGTGCGTTCTTAATTGGTCAACTGCTGTGTAAAGAGGGTTCAGTATCGTAAGTGGTCAACTGCTGTGTAAAACTGTTACTTATTGCAGGTCATCAAAGGTTACGTGTAATCATGAGTGGAGGAGTTTATGGCGGTGGTAAGTTCATATTTTCCTTATATATTGTAGCAATAACTAATTAATATAGCACTCAATCTTCGTTTGAACACATATTTCAACCGCTAATAAACAGAAACAATTCCTATTATTATTTCTATTTTATTATTCAGATGAAGTTGGTGCTTTGGTTTTCGATCCTGGTTCGCACACATTTCGAGTTGGTTTTGCTGGTGAAGAATTTCCAAAAGTAAACTTTTCACGAATTTAGTGAAGCAACGTTAAGTGGAAGATGATACTGAGGGGTTGTAAGACATTATACTGAGTTACGAAGTTTGTTCAAAGCTAAGTCATGTTTCAGTGATGTGTATCAGAACAACCCTGATTAATAGTCACTATTATATTTTTTAAAAAAAATTATATTTTTATTTTATTGGAAAAGCTATTTTGATTTCTGGTTAAATATGTTACTTCCTGAAATGTATTATGTCATTTTCGTAAAATCTTGCATAAAAATGTAATTTCACATTATTTTATAGGGTGACATACCAAGTCAAGTTGGTGTGCGTGAAGTTCTGGATGAAATGGATGACACTGTGGACCAAAATGCTCAAAAAGCAAAAATGAAGGAATATTTCATTGGACGGACATTCATTAACGTTCCGAGACCAAGGACGGAGATTAAAAGCTACATGAAGGATTGCATGAGTATGTTTTCTTTGCCCTCAACGAAATCTTTTCCTGGAATATCATATTTTATAGCAATATTTAGTTGATGATTGGGACACTTTCGAGCAGTTGGTCGATTTTTCATACAGTCGTATTTTATTCTCTGAGAGTCAATATCAGCCTGTACTATTTTCCGAAGCTACAGTAAGTTTAATTTCTCAATATTTTGCTATTCCCACGGCATCAAATTATTTATTAGTTTCCATCTTTCACTCATCACACGTTCATTTATTAGTTCTGCACTACTGACAGTTCGGTTATTCAAGATTTCCTCTTAACTTGTTGCAGTCCACTGCATTTTCTTTAAATTAATATTGCGCTTTAATTTGATTAATTAAATTACTTGCTATAGTGGAACACAAAAGCAAATCGTGAGAAACTGACGGAATTGATGTTCGAGAAATACAATGTTCCTACTTTCTATGTTGTCAAGAATGCTGTTCTGTCGTGGTATATTTACGCATCATACCTTCAAATTTCTATTTTCGTATGAATGAATAAGACATATTCTTAACTGACGGCGCTCGCTTTTTATTACAAGTACAGTATTTCAGTTATGCAAATGGGCGAACAGCTGGATTAATTCTGGACAGTGGTGCTACACAAACTTCGGCTGTTCCTGTATTTGACGGATATTGCATAACACATGGTAGCCTTTTCATATATTTTGTAGACTTTTCACTAAGTTTTGTGTCAAAATATTTGCAAAACTTACGCTTTGGATTTAAAACTTGTTAAGTTTAAATCAGGCAGTACTTATTTGTTAAGTATGGATGAAATTTTTTGTGACTTTTGAAAATTTTTTTGATGTTTGAGCAATAAATAAATATTTTTTAGCGGTGGTAAAACAACCGATTGGAGGCGATATGATTGCAGAGCAGTGCCGTTTGATGCTTGAAGAGCAAAAGATTGACCTGGTGCCTTCTTATAAAATTGCGTCAAAGGTCTTGTTTCTGTTGAACTTGAGTAGCACCTTGCGAGCAAACATCCTACTATTAACATTCAACTATTTTATTAATTTTATTAATTTCAACTATTTTATTTATCAACAAGGCATTTTTTTTTTAGGAGGTGGTTAATGAAATGGAGCCACCTGTATGGAATGAGAAGAAAAATTTGCCTGAAGTTACGAAAAGCTATGAAACATATATGGAAAAGGTTTGCAATTTTTTTGTTGCTGGAGTGGTAAATGCGTCAATGATTTCATCTTTAGATCATAAATGAAGTGAAATTGCTTTTTTTCAGCAGGTTCTTGAAGATCTCGCTGCTTCGGTATTGCAGTGTTGCGATACTCCTATAGACGTTGAGTGAGTTTTCAATGAAAATGATTCTTTTCTATAAGTAAACGATAAATATTCACCGATTAATAAAATGGCTTTTATTTGCAAGCTCGTCTTTTAGACTAATTTACTTTTATACTACGACAGTTATGTTGTCATGGAAGATAATTTTTTCGGATTACATGTAGAGGTAGATTGAGAATTTAGCATAACTTTTTAGTCGATTACATTCATGTTTGACTCTAGAGAATCTCTGCAATTTATGTGCTTCAGATTTGCGGAAAAGCTACCATCGTCACCGTTCTGCTTTCCAAATGGGTACAGCAAAGAATTTCAAGCGGAAAGGATTAAAATTCCGGAAGGCTTGTTTGATACCACTTATTTAAAGGTAAAATTTCGCAAATATTCATTTAATGACTGTTTCCTGAAATAGCAATAAGGTTTATCACTTTCTTTTCAATTATATGTGCTTGATTGGTTAAGGTGATTGACAGTATTTCAGGCAGTAAATGCTTCTTCAATAATGTCAGTATCTCAGATTGCAGCTACAGCTTGTGGAATGTGTGACATTGACATACGACCGGTCAGTTATTCGGAGAGGATTAAGAGAAAAAGTTTTGTTATACAGAACAGCATAATTAATTTGTATCTGCTCATACATATATCATTGGCAGTTGTTGTCCTCTTCTTATAATTCTTGTAAAGTTACTCTAAAAAAAGATTTTTGCAGACGATGTATAGCGGTTTAATGGTGACCGGTGGTAACTCGCTATTGATGGGATTTACTGAAAGACTTAATCATGATCTTGCTCATAAATGTCCACCTGTTAGTATACTATAATATATTTGCTTTATTTATATAATTTTTATATGTGTCATCTCTAATTTTGTTACTTTCAGACAATAAAACTAAGGGTTTATGCAGCGCCTACACCAATGGAACGACGATTTGGAGCATGGATTGGCGGATCGATTTTAGCTTCACTTGTAAGTTATGTTGTTCAATTTGTTATGGTTGTGTCATTTTATCTTCTGTTAACTCAATGTAAACAAAATTATAGGGTGCTTTTCAACAAATGTGGATCAGTCGTGCAGAATATGATGACGAGGGAAAATCGATTGTTTCAAAGAAATGTGCATAAAATGAAAGTATTATCTCTTTTTTATTATAAACTGATACTGTTAAGTTAGCTGACGAATTTCGTCTCAGGGTGAAATCTCTCATCCATCATTGAGTTGTGTGGTCTTGTAGATCTGTTAAACAGAATTTCCTCCATCGAAGTTTGGAGTCGTGCTCTTATTGCTTTCTTTAAGTTTGTGAGGTTTTTCATTTGTTTAACAAGTCATTGATTGTGAGCGATCTCCTCTCTATTGTTTGACAGTGTTAAATTATTATTATGATTTGTTAAAGTTCATTCGAGCAACCAATTATGCTCACTTGTTTTCGCACCATTTCACATTCTATCATTTTGTCGTGTTGTGGTTTACATTGGATTTTGTGTCTAATGTGGCTTATTTTATCCATTTGATTATTTTATACGAATTTTGGAGTTGGAATTGAAAAACTGCAAATTTCAGAACTCAGGAATTCGTCTAGTAAATGTAATGAACAAATCTGTGTATATACAATCAAACTAACCATTTTTCATTGTTTCTTACTAATTTTTCCCATTTTTTTCTTGCATTTAACATCGTTCCAAAGAACAGTGAGGAATAATATCACATCTTCGCCTTTTTTAGTTATTTTTGTTTTCGGATTCAAGATCACTTTCCTGAAGTTTTGTTTCCTAGAAATTTGGAAAACTGAAAGCAGCTTGTGAAGTTGGTAGTAATTTTTCCATCCTTTTGTGGTTTGAAAATTTAATAGTGAACTTCACGGATGAAGTAGTAAATGAACTTAACAAATGAAATTAACATCAGCAGGGAAAGTTCGAAAAGCTGTGCCGCGGTTTCTTGATTGTTTGAGTGGATAAATGATTGCCGCTCTAATAGAGAACTTTATTATCTTCATTACTTTGAAAAAAATGGAAAATCGAAGTTATTGGAATTTTTCAATTCAAAGTAGCAATAAGAATTCATTAGTGTACAGGGGTAAGTTATTGGGAAGGTATTACTGATTACGTTTATTCGCCGCCGGTTACCCTCGATTCACCTGTTTCACCATCATATAAGTGTATACCGGTTTTAGCAGCCCATGATGATCCCGATCCCGAGCATTTCCTGGAATAAAATTATGAGAAATTGTCACTAAAGGTTTTCATCACAATGCCGGACCTGGGCAAATTATTTTACTGTTAAGATTAAGCCATGAAAAATCCAACACTTCCCCGGATTTTATTTTTACTTTTATTTTTTATTTTTTGAAATGTTTAATGCTACGAAAGATTTTCTATTGTCCACTCTCTTCAATTCGTATAGATAATGAAAAGCATTTGTTTAATTAAAAATTACTGCATTTAAAAAAAAAACTGCATGCAATGCACAGAGAATAAATTAATGGATATATATTCCATTAACGGGGAGAATACTTAATGATATGATATCACACTGTTAATGGGAAAGGTGTCATCAATTTTGGATTTAAAAAAAAGAAGCTCAAGAATGTGAGGAATGTCAGAGCATCATAATGCCTTTCATTTTAAAGCTGACAATAAAGAAAAAGAAAGAGAGACATTGAATTGATTTCTAATGTAAGGAAATATGCGATTTATTTAGCCGCATATACCACGTCATCTTATATAATGATTATATATAAGTTGATTAATAAGCAAAAGGTGTCAATTATAAGGAATTCCAATTTTAATTATTGAAGTTTGACGAAAAAGAACAATCATAAAATTGCTAAATTTATCGCAGTCTAGGAAGATTTTCATTCGTTAGCTTACGATAATGTATTGAAATGGAACCAAAAAAAACGACATAAAATTTTATGGTTATAAAAGTTGATATAAATTTCAGACTAAAATTTTCTTTCTTTTTAAATTCCGATAATTTAAGTATTATTTTGATATGATGCAATTAACATGTAAAACGACAGAGAAAAGAGGTGAAATTTACCTGCAACAATCCCTATTAACTTTGCAGTCATAAAGACATGCTAATAATAAGGTAAGTAGGACGAGAGCCATAAGACAGATAGGTAATAAATGATGAGTTATAGGAATTTCGAATAGTTCCTCTACTGTACTTTTTTGAGCTACAGTAGGTGTTATTATAAATATTGTTGCCTTCATTATCTTATCCAACGACATCTGAAGTATAACTTTTTTTTCAACTTTTAATTTTTATAAATAATAACAATTAATTTTGGACGAAATTTAACGTAATGAAAACAATTGTATATATATATATATATATATATATATATTTGCAAATATTTCACATATCATAAAAATAATTTTAAAAATTGACAAATAAAATAAGCATTGAACAAAATTAAATTTAAATTACGCCCATTTAAAATAAAAAAAATGTTACTGAAACTAATTAAACCTTTATGAACAGTAAAAAAAAATCATCCGTAGCACTAATCAATAAAAGTCGATCGTAGCACCAATCAATCAATTTTTCAATCATTTATTAATATGCTTGAATTTTTTGTCATATATTTTATTCATAAAATAGTTATTAGTAAGTAAAGGTAAAAATGAAACGGCGAAACATAAAGATAAGTAAAAGAGAAAGGGAAAGCTTTTGATTGTTATCATTTCAATGAAAAAGTTTTGAGAAATTAAAGAGCGAAATGATTATTGAGAGGAAAGGTAATTGAAGCTACCGTATCCATTTAAAATAAGCTAAACTTCTCTCTTTCATTCTCACTATGCTGACAAACTGTACCAAATCATTTCATTTTCTTTTTCGATTCAAAATACAATAAATAGTTGATGAGTAATCCGAACAACCAACAAACATTTTCTTGAATGTAAATGAATGAATGAATTTAATGTTTGTTTTTCACTTGCAGGAATTTAAAGAAGAATGAGAGAATGAATGGAAATGTTGTTGTTGTTGTTGTTGACATTAAATTATTTTGTCAACAAATGAATAACATAGCTAGCTAACAAGATATTTGATTATTTAGCAATACGAGGACAAATAAATTGAAAGAGCTATCGAATTGTTAATAATTATGCTAACATAATGTAAATGAGAATTATGATGAGGTGGGTGGTATGTATTAAACATGCCAATAATCACTATATCCAGCTGATAAATTAAATTTGTGCTTTTTTGTGATAGTGATGTGTGAATAATTTCAGATATCAATGATTTCTATATCTGGTATGAATTGTATAACATTCGCTAAAAAGATGAGATTCCTATCTTTTTCATTAATGAAATGAGAACTATGAAAAGATTCATTTGTTTGCTTATCGATATAATATAAATGGCTAAATTCTAATTTTAATTAATACAGTTCAAATTAATTTTAATTTCAAATTAATTTTAATCCAAATATTAACGTACAGCAATAAAATTACTTGCATTTATTGATGTAATGATTGATACAATATTGATCAAAAAGTGTATAATTATAGCATTTTAATGTGAATTAATAATTGTATAATAAATGAAGGAATCAGATATATATATCTGGAAGGGAAGAATGCTAAGAAAACCATATTAGTGCCACATTTCATATCGCCTTATTTCTATAAATTGCATTCTATTAAAATTTGAAAAGTTATCTCAATCGAAAATTAATTTTTAATAAATGAATTTCCAAGCATTTTATGCTTTCTATTATTATGAGAAAGAAATAATCCTACTCTCTACTAAATGTTATATCTCCTTAAAAATTTCCGTGATAACACGGTCCACATTGTAACAAATTAAAAACTAACATTTTCCATTCACGAAAAATTACTTGCTAAATTAAATAAACATTGTCAGTTGATAATTTCTCAACAATAAATGAAAAACAGATAATGAAATTAAACATTGCTTGTTTTTCAAAATATATGATCCGATCTTTGTTCACATTTGGGAGGAACTTTTTTCATAATCACCCTGATGATCAAACTTCGTTAATTTAAATCTGAAAAAACTTACGATTTCATATTTCAATTCTACTCTGAAATAAAATTACACAGTACCATTATTTTACAATTGCTATGATTTATGATAGAATATTAGAGTTGGGTTAACGAATGCTGCAGAAAATGATATTCAAACCAAATGCATATTGATGATCAATAGAAATCTCTGAAAAATGATTCATTGATGATATGTTTAAAATACAAACAGTCATAAAAAGTAATTTGAGAGTGTTTGCCTAATCATTATATTTTGATTTATTTGGTGATACATTGGAGCATTTGATATTTGATCTTATAAATTTTCATTCAGTTTGTAGGACATATTAATGGAGATTGTTATTATTATGGTAAACCATAAACACTAGTGCTGATGGCATTAAATAGTATAAAAAAGAGTGAACCTGTTTAACTCGTTTCACAATTCCACTAATCGAGACCCTACTTAAATTATCATTAATTTATTTATTTCTTAACAAAAAATTAAAATAAATATCTCAAATTAAAATATCTTAATTATATAATGATATTATGCAATTACTATTTTAATAGAATTCTCTCAGTTAAAAAAAAAGATATCAACGACTATTTTTGATTTCTGGTAATATTTAACTGACGATTCTCCGAATCAAGAATTAGAGAAGTTAATTTAATTAATAGAACTTCAAATAGGTGTGCGGGGTGACGACTTGATCTAGTAACTCCTCCACAAATGAAATGCAACATCAAAAATATTACATTTGTATATATGGCTAAATTTATTGCTACTAACTTCTAGAGAATTATGTAACTCTAAACTATCACATATAAATAAATTCTAAAGAATCAAACTAAATTTTCAACAATTAAAAAATTATCCCTTCAGTTTTTAAATTTTGAAATCTTATAGAAAAAACTTTGCCAATGATTTCTTATAATTAAAAAATTATTTTCAAAAATCAAATTTTTTTTAACAATCTATTATTGAAAGAGAAGTTTAGTGACACCTAAAAAATCTGATAATACCATAATTTAGTAAGATAGACGCAACTTGAAATGTAATTTATATAACATATCATTCGCATATGAGAGATTGAATAGATAGTATGTAAGTAAACAAGCTTATGTATACAATGAAAATTCTCTATTGCAAGGGATCATCACATACAGTCAGTGTAGAAATTGATTTTTTTACAAACTGATCGAAAATTATCAAAATCAATGTAAACTAAAGAAAATGAAACATCAATTCGTTAACAGGAATCGATGCTATAATTGAAATTTGCTAGAAAATGACTGAATAACTTCGATAACAGGTTTAATGAAGGGTTTGTACTTTGTATTATTATATATCATTACTTCACTAACAGTAGCATTCTTTCTTTTCTTCTAAAAAATACTTTCAACGAAAGTTAGAAAAGTAATGGCAAACAACTATGGTATTCTTTTTCTTTCGCTGTTTTTCAATAAGTTATCATTTTCTCAATTTGTTATCTTATTGTAACTATTTCTCTGTAGTTTGATTATCGTATTTTAATGATATTCTAAATGATTTGTCTAACTTCTCAAAAGCTGATAAAAATATTGATTCATAATGAAATCCTCCAGAAATCCAGCTTTAGGAACCAGTTATCACGTAACTCAATATTCCTCGGGAAATGATCGTTTTGAAACATATGCTTTGAATGTTGTGAAGCTAGAGCTCTATTTTTCTTAACTTCCCTAGAATAGCTAATTAAGAGTAGTGATAAAGATAAAGAGAGATAGCAATAACTTGATGATGTAAAGTGAAAAAATTCTCACGAAGACTGGTACATACGATAAAATTAATATGAAATGGAAAAGAAACATGCAGGATGCTAGGAAATTATGCCTTACGCACCGGTGATACACATGATGCATCATTTTAACGGAACCAGTTTTCCGTTCGTTAACACACACACCCAGAAAATGAGCCAACCATAGCCACCTATCAACCCTTTACCAACATCATTGCAATTATTGAAACATATAACTATTTAACCATCACAGCTATCCACAAAGATGTAAAAATGCATTTGATGATATATTCGGGTAAGATATGAATTCTATGTATTTTTGACACATATGATACCGGTGATAATGATACCGTTGTAAAGCAACCCATTAAATACAAAATACTTTTAAAAATTTAGAAACACAAATAAAAACAACCGCCATAATAAAATTTCTTCAGAAAATAAACATAATCCGTGAAGCAGAACCAGTAAGTTATGCGAATGAAACTACCCAGCTGAGATTTAAAGAATTCACGTTCGTGGTACACCAATGGTTGTTACAACATATAAAAATAAAGATCATATCTACGAAAAAATCAAAGAAGACGAAAATCAAAAAAAATAAGAAACCAGAATTTAGAACTGTGAGATCACTTGCCATTTCAATCTATATAAGATGAAATAAAAACGTAAGCTAGTTTTATTCTCACTTCAAGTCTATATTTTGAGGAAATGCATGATACTATCGTTTTCTTAAATTTGTTTTATTTTAAAATGATAAATTCGTAATATTCAAAACCCATAGTGATTTTTGCAGATAAAATCACCACTCTGATATTTTTCGAATATTTGTGTATTTCGCATTCTCAACAGCACCAAACACAAGACTCTTATTGAGATGCTTTTTAGCGAAAAGCTTTTCTTCTTCTGTTGATGGAACTAGCAATGTTTATCCTATATTATAACTATACATGAATGAATCCAAGGCAATGAGACAATGAAATTACATCATAAACCCAACAATTTCAACCGTCTTTCGCGATATATCTTCAACCAGCGTTCTTCACGTATAGCATGATCTTCCGAAAACTGAAAAAAAAGCTGCTAAAATCAATAACTTAAATTCGTGACAACAATTAAGTGAACTGTAGAAAGCATCCAGAGAGACAAAAATGATCGAAATAAATTTCAATTGAAAGATTCAATATTGAAAGAATGAACTCATTGAAATACTGACTCCATGCGACAGCATTACATTTCAAACTGAATACTGGAAGAAACTTAAAAAACAATATTTTTCTATAATTAACATAATGTGCTTATTATTTTGGTAGGCTATCATTTAAGAAAACGAAAATTAAAAAAAACACATATGGAGCAATAAAAAAATTACCCGTGCATTAGCAAGAGGTATTTCCTTATCAACTTCAACATCTGCGATGGCCTCTTTTTTCTCGTCACTATATCTTTTCTCGGCATCTCGCCATTTTGGCCCAAACATTGCTTTATCATGCTCGTCTTCTTTCTTCGTTATTATCGCTGTACGATCCGTTACATCCTGAACGAAGTGAAAATCAAAATAGAAATAATATGAACTAATCGACATTTTTCCTGATATAATATAATATTGGTTACCATTTACGAATAACGTTATCATTGGATATATTAAACAGAATAGTCGCTGCTAATTGAGCCTGTTCCTTATACAAATGAGCCTGATATATATACCTACATTGAGTGGAACGTTTTAATGATATGCAATAGAGACATAAGTGGTTTTTAGAGAATTATATGAATACATGTACAGATTTTCCCTATTGCCTTAGAGACTTTTAACTGTCTAATTCAATTCAGTAAGCTCATGACTACTTTCTTTATATATATTTTTTATATTTAGATTACAAGACTTCCATCATGCGTTAAAAATTCATGTAAAATTCAATATTCAAACAGACCTCTTTCCTAACTCTTCCACCAGCTCCTCCAGAAGAAGAAACGAATGTGGACTGATGAAAGCCTTCCTCTTCGATACGTTCAATATCACGATGTCGTGCTACTGTCTCTGTAACTGTGAGATCCATAGTTGAATGTGATTCATTTAATACCTCTCTTGCTTCAACGACATCACCCATTTTCGTCTGCACAGATTCAAGAGTCGAACGCATTCGCGATTTCATCACTTCTATCGCCTTAAAATATAATAATAATCTATTAACTCAAGAGACCCTATGTCTTATTATTCACAACTTTCAGCGACTATTTTCTATGTTTGCTGTTTCTAATATTTTCTTCTGAAAAATTTCCAACAGCTCTCTTTTTCATTCTCTGTAACAAGCACTGTTTGCTTATAATAATCTTACCCGGTTAGTTCTGCTCCGTTGTTTCGAATGCCCATGTCTCGTGCTCCGTTTATCATGCTTGTCCCTGTAAAAATTGTAATGAACTTTTAACTGAATTTAAGCACCATTTCATTCTCCCTCTCCCCTCAAAAAAGTGCTGGTGCAAAAGTGCAAAATTATCTTTATAAATGGTTGTGGGAATGAACAGAACAAAATAAAATAAAACGAAAAACGTTCACAGAACTTCTTTCTATTGCAGTTTAATGATTTAGCCGATATCACATTGCAATAAAGAAATTCATTAAAATTTCAACAGTTCACATTACATCTAAGTTAACTCGAACCATCAAATGACTATCATTATCATAATCAATTATCACCGCAAAGCAAATAACACACAACTAACCTCCCAGTTTTTTCATTGCTTCTACTCTTACTCCGATCTCGACTACGCCAAAGATAGCTTTGGCTCCTTTCTCGACTACGCCGCCTGCCACCGCTTCTGCTTCGGCGCCTTCCATGACTTCGACTTCTGTTACTACGTCGATCTGCACTTCTACTCCTGCTATAACGTCGTTCCTGACTTTTGCTTCTGCTATAACGCCGACCTCGACTTACGCTTCTGCTATTACGTCGACCTCTACTCCTGCTCTTGCTATTACGTCGACCTCTACTCCTGCTCCTGCGTCGATCTCTACTCCTACTCCTCATATATCGATCCCGACTTCTACTTCGCGATCGCCTCTCATAACTGCTACTATCACTAGATCGCTGTCGACTACTAGCAGTGCTATCATGCTTTTTCGGTCTGCCCATATTTTGCTGTAAATTATTAATTACCTTCTACATAAAATACAATTCTAATTACGCGTTTGTAATTATCTGAAGCAATATTTCGTCCATAACAGCATATCTTTTCATGTCTAATTACCAATTTCATTAAATCAAATCCATAAATTCTCATCCTCGTATATTCCATCAGTAGTTTCAGATTGACATTCCCATAAAGAATCACGAAATTCTCGATCTTAAAATGTGCCTAAGGAAAGAAAATTATTGTTAATATGAAAATAGATTATGTAACTAATGCGATTGCACTACATTGGAATCATATTTCTTTCTAGCATCACGAGATTCACCTTCAATCCTATTCACACCCCCCTATCACCGACCATTTTCGTAATTTCCTTTTGCAACAATAAGTTTGTTGCTGCAACGGTTCAAAGCAATTTTGCGACTTTTCCCAAATGCTAAATCCATTTTTTTAGCTTAATTTTTCAAATAGCTAAGATTTGGCAAAATTGAGAAATAGTAAAGTAAGAAAGTGCAGCAGTATATTATTCTCAATATAACGTTGACATCATTGATCTCTCTTTTCCGCAATGAAAATGATGTTCAGACTTCTTGATGCTTATGAACTTACGAAATTCCTCATCAATAAGACTTTCCTTATATTTTATCAGCAACAGTTGGAAATGATTTTAGCATGAGAACTTTTTATAGGATGAATTTCATGATTTTCGATCTCTCAGGGCACTCTTACCTAATCTTGATAACTTCATCATTATTGATAAATATTAGCAGTGGTGAAATGAAATAAAGCTTATCATTTCTCCTTCCATATTTGCATGAAAAAATGTTGTTCGCTGTATTTGTGATAAATGATTAGAATCTTATTATCAATTCACATTAATTTAAGATGAGTTAATTTTTACAAAAGCTAGATTATCATCAATATATTAGCATCTATTGATATTATTCCCTTCTCATCTTTCTTAATTATTCAAAGTACTCTTCTAAAATATACATATTCATTAAGGATATTGTCACATTCCTACAACTTTCTCAGCAAAAATTATCAAATATATTTCGTTTAAGCAATGTTAAGCATATTTTACCAAAATCAAAGCTATTCTTCAATTTCAGGTTTTCACTTTAGTGATAATATTTTTTATATTTATCTATTGAAAGAAAAATCGATAAGACATTTGATATGATTAACACTTTTCTCAGAGGTTCTTTAAGTATTTTCAATTACTACCGAGAAAATTTGCTATTAAGTAAACGTTATTAATTCCCTTTCTCAACGCATTATTATATCATCCCAACTTGTAATAATCGAGAACAACTGTTGCTTTCAACTTTTTCTATTCTTATTGTTCATCTAAATTTCCTTCAAATATTTAATATCATTGATAATGAGGCAGAGGACTGACCAACAAAATAAAGGAACACTCTTGACCTTCATCCAGCACTCTCATTCAGAATTCAATTTCTAAGCGTCACTGACTTTTGCTTAAAGCATTAATCAAAATTTTATCTTGATTTTAATTTAAGTTACTTGTGTATAAATTATTCATCTTTGCTTGATGATTTTAAAATTTTAATTCTAGAGGAGTTTAATTAGAGTTCAACTGTCGGCAGCATTTGTATTTTATTTTAAAGTATCTCGAAAGGGTAATTTACAATTATTCCATGAAATACATAATTTTGATTAGTATATTTTATAGTAATTTTGATTACATTTTATAATAACAGCTTATAACCCTTTGACAACTTAATTACAATTAAATC